AATGATATGTGCCAGTCCTAAGCCCATAACCCTTCCAATGAAAACATCCTGAAACAATCGATCAAATCCTCAATACTAGATTCTTCACTCTCTAATGTTGTGTAAGTAGATGAAACTTTTTGTTGAGTAGTTGCTTAATTTTCCTAGTGAGAAAACAGGCTCAAGAAAATTAAATGCCTAGAGTCAGGTGCAAAAGCAACAGAACTAGAACCTAAGTCCTTTCTCCTAATTTCATTGATCTTTTCAGTGCACCAAGCCTTAGCAGAATTTCTGCCAAACTTGTCTCTTTTCAGACTTAAAGAAAGAAATGTGTAAAGTAGATATTCTGTTCTTAAATCAACAAATAGCTATGATATGGTAAAGCTTTTAGGGTCTTGTACAACTAGAACTTCATGCTCTGGTGAAATACGAGAGCTGTGGTTCTTCATAGAGGCAGAAACTACAGATTTTACTGTCAAAGTCTACATCTCCAAAGCAATGCGATTTTCTCTCTGTGGAGTGTGTGTGTGTGTGTGTGCGTAAGGGGCAGGGGTGGCAGGGGGGTCGTCTGACCTTAAGGCAGCTGCCATAGTCCAGCTCAAGTATCAGCCAGAGCAGCTGCCAAGTTAATCCACCAAATAGGGAGACATTGCTCTGGAAACCCCTGTTCCCTGAACAGCTCCCATTAAATGGTTTAGACAAATTCTTCTACCTAAGGCCACTAAACCTCACTGGGAAGGGAGAAAGAGGAACAGTGAAGGGCTTTCATTACTGCTCCCACTTCTGAAAACATCTACTTGCCACTCATATTCCCAATATGATACCCAGCTGTCCATGGGCCTGGGGACGGGGATGGAGGCAGTCCCCGTGTGAACACTTGGGTGTGATTCGCATATAAGTAGTACAGAAAGAGGAAAGGCAGTGGATGGAAGCAGACTGGACTGGGAAATGGCCACAGCGAAGCATCCCCAGGAGAAAGGTCTAGTGGAGACTGCTTTCCAAGGGTAGCTGACCTGTCTCACAGAGGCCTTCTACCTTTTGATTGCCCTGCCTTCTGAGGTTGACTAGGAACTGGTATAATTTTTTCAAAAACTTTAAAAATTAACACATGACATGGATCCATTGTCATTTCCAACAAACTCTCTGCATTGACTGAGCGTACAAGGGCATGCCCTCGGAAGGTGAAAACTTAAGATGGTGATTTTCTAGCTAAAGACCGGTCTTGTATAGAGGCTTTGCACACTGTGGCCTGTGACCTCTTTCGTGAGGTTTTCTGGGAGGAATGGGGTGTGATCGGGTTCAAAGTATATCCTGTCGAAAGACAAATGGGAACTAGGGCCTTCGGTGAGATCCAAATTAGATTTAGGGCTGAATGCAAACTTTGTTGAAAATTTTTTTCTTCAAGAATGAGGGTGGGGAAAGTAACAATGCTCCCGTGAATGCTTGTTCACCCCTAGTGGAGACAGTTGATGTCTGGACTTTGCCATGACCAGCTTCTGACACATAATCTGCCTATGTGATTAGGTGAAGAGAGAAGGTATGTGATAGAGATTGCATGGCATCAGAAACCACAAGCAGCACAAGCAAGGGCAGGTTTCACTGTATGAATGGCTGTGTGGGGAGCACCTAGAAACAGAATGTTGGCCTTGAAAAGTTTGCATTGCTGCTGATGGGTCTGGAGTGAGTTTACAGATGAGCAAGTGAGCCTGAGATGTTTCTGAGTTTTTAAGGCAACATTATTCTCTGGCATGGGACTATTCAGTAAAGACAGGTCACAGCACCAGTGAATCGAGGAGAACTATTGTATCACATCCTAAATGTTCAGGGAAAGACTAATGATGGAGTGTGAAATCCCAACAAGCTACCCTTGCATTGGACAAGTATTTAGTGAGTTCTGAGGTGGTGAAGGTGAAATCAGGCCTGCAAAAAATTCAGAGGCCAGGAATCTGATACTCTGTTGCGGTCTTTATCCATCTGCCCATATCCCCATTCACGGATCCAAGGTTGGTGCTCCATCATAATCAGGTTTCCTTCTCTATGTGAAAGGCCCTTTCTCAAACACCAAGAACTACATAAGCAAGGTTCTTGACAATACTGAATGTCAATTCACCCTACCCCACCCCGTCCCCACCTGCCTCATCCTCATTTCACCAGACAGGCATGTAAATGTCAGCATACATGACATGGGCTTGGTGGACGGCAGACAAGAAGCATGACTTTCCCCCTGCAGCCTCAGAGAAATATTTCAAGGATACATGGCAACAAAGTCCAAAACCTGAATTCTCAGAATATAAGTTGAACTCTTCAGACAATTATTCAGATCCACAATTAGGATGTTCCCTGACAGCATGGAGTTTTCTCTCTCCCTGTTTGCCCCACTGACTCCATGGCCAATACTTCCTCCCACTGCTCTTCAACATAAATAATGACAGGAGGAGGAGTTATATACCTGAGCAGGCTATGAGGACGCTCGGAACATTCTAGGGGCACAGGTTTCTGGCTGATTAGACACTGGGGGCAGGGCCCACTTATACACAGTTACAGACGTGACAAGGACCCATTAAGATCCCACTGCCTTTGCTGAACAGACAGCTAATGAGGCAAAAAAGAACTCCATGATGGGAATTTCCAGAACTTCCCTGGGTTGTCAACGAGCCAGAAATAGCCGAGGCCTTTCAGCACCAGGCACCCTGAACTGCTTCTGAGCCATGGGCGGAGGGAGCTGGGGCTCAGGTCCAGCAGGGTAACTTACTAAAAGTGCACGGGGTTTGAATCTTTAGATATTATTAATTAAACTGACAGTGTTCAAAAGCTATTAAAGGAGTAAGATGTCAGTCCCTAAGCAAACCTCATAACTGTAATCAAGAAAAAGTTTGACTATGAGAAAGGTGATATCTCAAAAATAACATGCCATTTGTTGGTTTTGTGACTTTTCTTTGGTTCTAATTCTTTATGGCTGGTAAACAAACATTGATCTCTGGCTCTTTATTCATTCGGATCTCACCTGGCTGCAATCCCACTGAAGTCGCTATGCAGGGCACCTTTTTCTCAGGGCCCTCCTCTCCCAAGAAAGACACTGTAGAGTCTGAGGGTTCAAAGAGAACTGAGAAGTCACCTAGTCCACCTGCCCACCAGTACAATAATTGCCTCTGTATCTCCAACGGGAGTCATTTAGCCACCTCCCGTGCCCCTCTGGTGTAAGCAGATGAAATGCTGCTACTTAATCTGTGGAAACTCTACATATTCCTGAAAGAGTCCTTTGCTGCTCCTCCCTCTATTTAAGAGTAGTAAATTCTCACAGCATCATGGATGCCTTTTAAAACTGGCCTCTCCTGATGGCCATTCTGGAGGGTCGACTCTAATGGATTACTGAATAATTGCCCACTGAGTCACTGTTCTGAGTCAGGGTACCCTCCATGCAAGATTAGGTAATGGAGGGGAGGGTGCCTTGAGGTGATTGCATTATGGGAGCTTGAGGCCACAGTCTTGTCTAGGGACTTGGTTCTTTTTAGGTGGCTGAGCCTCAACATTGGGGAGACATTCATCTCTGGGCCTACAGAAGAGGAGCATGATGAAAGAAACTACATGAGATGTTAGTCAAGGGAAAAGAAAATGTTTCCTACCCAGTAATGTAAAAACCAAGCTCTGAATCTGATTCCAGATGTAGTGAAGTATAAGAAAAGCCAAAAGTACTAGGCAGATTGCTAACTCCTGTGAGAAAACAAGAAAAAAGCTTCACTGACATTATCACAAATAATTTTTCCAACATCATTTAGATGGACTTTTCATTTTGATTCAGAGCCGTATTTCATGCTCCTCATAGGGTACTACACTACTCTTTTCAGAAAACAGCTCCTCCTCACTCCCACTAAAAATGTAAGCATTTCCCTAAACTTCTAGAAGTAATTTAAGTCTACTCTATTTTTTAACCTAAAATCCACCGCAAAAGATTTCCTCAAACCAAACATTTACTTTTGTCATTTTCATTTGTAAAAATAAATGTAAGTCACAAAAGCATATTACTTTTAGTTTTCCAAAAATCATTTCCTTTTATTACCTCATGAAATTGAGGTTCACTTGAGTAGACACAATCAAGATAATAAGTACTTTTCTGATTTTTGAAAAAAAAGTTTCTTGTTCACAATCACCTGATGACCCAGGAGCACGGAACTAGAGAGTATTTCTTTGACAGCCCCTTGTCTGGGCAACGCTCAACCCCACACATTGTTTAAGAATGTTCACAGGTATGGAGTAACCATGAACATTCTTCTTTGTGAAGAAATTGTAGAAGATTTCTTCTATGAAATCTTTGAGCCATGCAAACATCTAACCCAGTGTTAGGAAGAAGACATGGACTTCAAACTTTCATTATAAAAAGAAAAAAAAAAGGAAGGAAGTGTCCTTTTCAACAAAAAATCCAATGGAGGAAACCCTGAGCTTTTCTGTTCCCAGGAACACATGCTTAAGAAGCACTGGTTTAATCAAGCCAAGACTCTCTTTGTCTAGCTATAGCCGGCACACTCCCGGAATCCAAAGATCACAGGTTATTTTCCAAAGCAGACTTAGAATTCAATTCAAAACGTGCTCCTTAGGGGTTGCTGGAAACCACACAAAAGCAGGAGATTAGTCTTTGAAGCCCAAGGAGGACACAGAAAAGGCTGAGCAAGGGCAAGTGGCCTTGTAAAGGGGAACAGGGACACCAGCCAGTCACTTTAGACGAAGCAACTTTCGACTGCATGCCTAAGGGCCAGGCTCTCTAGAACCCCCTCCCCTGGGAAGCCAGGTGTGAGGTCACCACTCACGGGCAGAGTGAAGTCAAATTGTTTTTTCTTTTTGTTTCATACAAGGCTTTAAAAACAAGTCAACACAAAGCTTAAACAACTAGTCAGCACTGGGGCTGAGTTGTTCCTGTGTTTTTCCCAAGGCCACAGTTTCTCTCTGCCCCTGCCTTCTTGCTGTGATTCTAGCAAGACCCCGGCTAGCACAGGGAAGCATTGGGACACAAGAGCATCAACACTAACCTGAGAAGTAGCTGCAGGTGAACTAGTTTCCTTACCACTCACTGCTGCCCTCTCACTGGCTGCGGCTTCTGCCACTTCTGCCTTCTGCACATTCGAATCCTCAGAACCCGGAGGCCCTGTGTGCCCCGGACCTTCACTCCCTGGGTTGGGAGGTGGGTTGGCGGTAGCTTTCCGGGTTTGGCCTTTATACCAACTAGGGTAAAACAAGGGATCCGCCGTGTCCGTTGCTGCAGGGACTGGCATTTCAGACTCTGTGGTCTGCTGAGAGCCAGTGGGCACAACCTCCCCCTTAATCAGGACAGATAAGTTCAAAAGTAAAAAAAGAAAAAAAGAAGAAGAAAAAAGCAGTAGATTTTAGTTCCCTTCGAGTTTGACAACTGTGTGTAGTGCCTGATTCAGTGCATGTTTTAGTTCATCCTGCCCTCTGCAAGCGCTAAGGGAAGGAAAGCTAACAGCGCCCCCTATCATGGCATCCCTCTTCTTTTCTGGGCTTGTCTTTCACTAGATGGTACCTGGCCAGGCAGACAGCAGAATCCGAAAATGAAAGTAGCTTATCAAATATCAGATGTGGGAGAAAGGTCAAACTATTGACCAAAATTAATTTTTTGACATTATATATGGGCTCTCAAAACCTCTTTTCTAAGATCCAAAATTGATCTTACTCTCATTTAGTTAGCATACCTCTTTCAATTTCAGTGCAATTGGCATACCCAGATTTTCAAGATTCTATGAACTATAAATAGTATTTTAGCCTAGTTTCCTATGGAGACAGCATAGAATATACTTCTCTGAGCTTCCCTTCTGAGGTTTTGTTTCTATAGGTAATTTCAGTCCACTTTGAAAGCAGGTGCAAAACCAGAGCTCCTTTGTGATGAGTCTGCATTGCCCACAAACTCAACAGGTAGGGACCCGCCTGCTGAAAGTGTCATGCAGTCGGCACAAAGGCTTGAAAACTGGACAGTAACATCTTAGAACCGTAAGGTCAGCCAATTAGGTATAGCATCTGGGATGAGCTAATTAATTTCCTTAGAAATTTGTAAAACAATTCTATTAACACATAATCTCATCAAATGACAGAAACATAGAAAACTAGGCTTCATTCGTTTGCTCACTGATTGAAAGATATAGTTGTATTTCAGGTAAGCAAGAGAGACATAAACTAGCATGGCTTCTTTCTCTACTTATTTTGTTATCTACAGAAAATGCAAAGTTCTTAAAGTTTAATCATTTTTATTTCTCACCCTATATCCTATATTTGTATTCAGAGCAGACTCGGTCTCCCCGATAACAGCTTTCTATGAACATGTTATACACGCACAATTTCCAGACAAAAATTGCCTCAAATTTGATGGTGTTATTGGTGGAAAAATCATGTTAAACTAAGTCTTGCCAACCAATTAAAACAACAAGGAACCTGTTGAATCACCTAGAGGACTTTACCCCCTGACATTGTGACTGCCCTGAAATCTTTTGTCTTCTGCATACAAATGTCTAGGATATAGTTATCTTTTTCTAAAGGTAGAATAAATATTTTAGGCTGTTCAGCAAGGAGGCACGCCTGCATTTCCTATAGGAAAGAACTCATGAACGGCTGCTTACCTGTGTCACTGGGGCATCCACAGCAGGTGGCAGGGCTGGAGATGGCTCTGGAGAGGAAACCGGAAGTGTTGCTGGGGCAGCCTGGAGTTCCGAGGCCAGCTGAGAGGGTTCCAAGGCTACCTCCAGACTTTCATCTTCTCCTAATGACGCCGTTCGAACTTTTTCTACCTCTTCCACTTTCTTCACTCCTTCTCCTCCTCCTCCTCCTCCTCCTTCTTCTCCTTCTCCCTCTCCTTCTACTTCTTCTCCTTCTTCTTCTTCTTCCTCTTCTTCTTCTTCTGCATCTTCTGTTAAGGTAATATATTTTTAAATCATTACAATTACCATTATAGCCATGCAAACAATTAATGGCCAGTACTTACAGCCCAGGTTAATGTCAAGGCTAGGGAAATCCTCTCCAGCAGATACTTGATAGTGGCTCAAGTGTGTCCTGCTGGGGCTTTGTGCTTCTAGTTAAATGTGGACATCACAAACGTAAAGAGGGGACAAATTATCACCATCCTCCTGGCTCCCCTCCCCAGTATGATGTCCTTACCACCACTGTGCACCATCCACCTGACTCCACCCAGAGCCTGTGACATCTGCAGGTTCATGGAGGGCTAGGATTGTCACTTATTTATCTTTGTCAAATTAAATGGAAATGCAACTCTCTTCTGTATCTCAGAAAACATACAAAACCCTTGTCTTGTTTTAATTTTTTACCTCTTTTTTCAGTGAATACCACAATTATTAATACCATGACTCTTTTCCTAACTCACTGATCTTAATATTCTTTGATGCAATATTAAGGAGAGACAATATTAAGTCATGTTTTAAAAAGATCCATCCTGAAGATTTGCTTCTAAAGTTACATCTGTGGACAGTGAAACAGCTTCATGGCATTTAGTGGTGGTCTAGCTGAGGAGTCTTGTCACCTAGATGGGCTAGGACGGATCATCAAATTTTTGGCTAGCTCCAAGTTTATTTTCCTCTTTTCAATGATTTCATCAGGCTAAATTTCCAGGAGTGGGATTTCTGGGCCAAATGGCAAGGATGTGTTTATAACTCATGGAGTACATCTGGTCACATAGACCCAGTTTTATTTCCAGGTTGTGACTTATTCTGTGACTTGTTACTATTCTTACCCGCTAAAGTTTGATTAAGTGGATGTACTAAAATATCTCTCCAAATGTCTTCTCTATTTTTATCTCATCCTTAACCTTGTAACTGATGACATCGCTGGAGCTAACACCTTGTGTAGAGTTGAAAGGGAGATATCATCATCACCATCAATTATTATTTGACTATCCAGAGTCAAATGCCCAATAATGGCATTATAATAGGCACTATGATATGCAAAGCTAAATAAATACTGTCAACAAACTGTATGACTTTGTAATGAAATGGAGCTTCACATTAGATTATTATCCTTGTAAAATTGTCGCCATGCATTCTGGAAGTGATTCTGAATCCCCCTTTCCTCCCACAGGGCTTTTCTGCAGCTTTCATACACCTGCAATTTTGGTCAAATGGTCACAAGAACAACAAACCTCTGTAAAAATCAATTTCCCGTATTATTTTTTCTTCTCTATTGAGGTTGACTGTGAAGTGGTTCATGTTCTCATAACCATGCTCTATTTTCTCCATCTGAAATGCCTTCGATGCTTCAGAAATTCTGCAACAAAGACAGGTTGCCACCGTTTATAGTTTGATAGCCTTGGATAAAAATGAAAAGTATGCATTTTTCCATAAAATGAAAATTACTTACTTTTGTAACAGGGTTTTGGCGTTCTGTGAAAGCAAACAAAAGACAGGCCTACTTAAGTTTTTTTTTTTATCAAAGACGGTGTTGAGACTTAATTCTTTCCTTTGCTGACTCTGAAAATCTCATAGCCTTATTTCTAAATGCCCTAAATAACTGCTCCTTTATACCAGAACCCTCTTATATTTAAGCAATGTCATGGTCCCTTAAATATATGCTCATGAAATTGTTTAAACAAATGGAGACATAAGCACATAATGGGCTTATGTTTTAGTTTGGAAAATAGATCAAAATGAGATACATAAAATAACAAAAATGTGATGACAACTAGTCCTCCAGCACCCACCTTCTTGGTTAGTGTCCTCTGGTACCCATGGAAACTTACCTGCAGAAACACTGCCATTTCTGGCTCATCCATGAACTGGATTCCTGACTCGACCAACTTTGATACGTTCTCCAAATGGTCAGAATACTTTTTGATCAGAGCACGGACATGTTCCAGTTTCTCCCCTTGGGTTCGGGTAATGACTTGGGTCATCTCATTCTTCCTCTCCTCCAGGATGCCATACAGGTAATCAAACTTCTCACAAAGTTCCTGTTTCTGTTTTTTGCAGCATTCCTGTTAGTTGGGTTAGCTAATGTTAGAAAGTGTTTGAAAGAATGTCTATTTGGAGAAATCACCTGGATATTTTGAGAGACAAGAAAATTGACTTAAATAGGATATTTTTTCTTTTCCTTTAATCTATATAGATACCCACTGTGTTGATGCTTTGAAAATCCCACTTATATCAAATTTGATACTTATAAAATCCAAAATTAATCAAATTGGATAAATGAATTAATGATTTTTCAATCTTCTTTATAAATGGAGAATTTCATATAAATTAGGACAGATTTTGTTTTGTATATTGGTTATATAGCATAGAGGTTCATATTTTGCTTTGTGTGTGTGTGTAAGGAAAAAACTATGGTGCTTCTTGGATTTTACCCTTCAGTCTCTATACTACTACTGTTCCAGTGTTAGCCCTCCTGTGCAGATTCTGATGCTTCCAATGGCCTCTGCATCTGGGACACCCCCTTCAAGCCAACTCACACACTGCTGCCAAATTCATTTTCCTAGAGTACATTTTCCTGGAGTACAGTGCTTTTTCTCTCTTATGACTCCCTACTGCCCAAATAACATTTAAACTTTATAACTGGCTTTCAAACCCCTCCACGACCTGGCCCCAGCTTTCTTTCATAATAATCTACTTCTCTCCACCCTGTGTCCAGCAAAAATGAACTAATCACTCACTTTCTTTGCTCATGCTCTCCCTCTCTTCAGAATGTTTTTCCCAATTCACAGTTGCAAACACTAAGCAATCTTAAAGACATGTTGAAATACCACTTCTCCTATTAAGCTTTCCTTGATCGCTGTGGCTGAATGTCATCTTTTAATCTTCTGAAATTCCATAATAGTTACCGTTTATGGCATATACCTGTATACACCAGGTGCTCTATCCAATACTGTCTAAGAGAGGGAAATACAGAATCTGGTCTTTGATTCCTGGAGAAAGGCTGTGTGGAAAGTTGGGTTTATCCATTTGCACCATGTGACTGACATCTCCAGTACCATCCAGCTCCCTTTACTGTGAGTCCATGTTTAAATCATAATTAACTTTCCAGTTGGCCTGGTGATTGGCCTTTTTGTTTTTCAAGCTCCAGTAAGCTTGCTATGTGTGTATGCCTGTCTACTTGACCCAACCATCTCTGGGTCCAGGATCTTTATAGCTGAGAGCAGGTTTTGAGCCATGACGATCCAACCTTGCTCTCCTGCCCGACGGGCGCTTTGTGAATCCAGCCAATTTATCTGTGACATCTCTGACCTTTGTATGACCCTTATTACCTGTTCTTTCATTTTAGTAAACATTGGTCTCTTTGATATCATGTATTACTTTCTTCCTTTACATGTTTCTTAAATATCTAAACTATAGTCTCCCCGAGGTTAGAATTTGGGTCTTCCTAGGATACATACTTCCTTGGATAGCAGATGTTCAATAAATATCTGTTGAATAGATTTTTTTTTAAATGATGTTTCATTTTCCCCAAACATCTCTACTGTTCTCAGACTAAGGGGGAAAAAGGATGACTTAAAACAAATTGTTGATTATGAAGATACCTTTCAAATGTGTAAGAAATGCATCCCTCACTCCTCTGTGTCCCTTGGAACATAGTTCTCCTCACATTTCTAACCAGTTACAACATGTTAAGGAGATCCTATGGTGCAAAACATTTTAATGAGTACCAGTATTGTTATCATCCACCTGTCCATTCATTCATTTAACAAATAATTTTTAAGCATATCATTTGTGTCAAGCACTGTGCAAGGTTCTGGGACCCTAAAAGGAATTAAACGTAGTTCATATTCTCAAGGAGCTCACAGTTCACTGAATGAGAAAGACTGTAGGCCAATAATGTAATACAACCTAGTAGGCTAAAAAAAAAATGAAATATATTAGAGATTTAGATTATATCAAGTTTTATAGAAGCATAGAAGAGGTGCTTTAATCCAACTCTTTCTGTGGGTGAGGACCATTTGAGGGGAACGGGCCTGAGGGTGGTGATGTTAGCTCAGGAAAAGCTTCTTAGAGGAAGTGGTGCCTCGAGTTTGACCATAAAGGATAAGCAGGAGCAGAGGAGGTGCGGGGAGGGGATGAAAATGTGTGGAGTCTCGGCAGTTGTCAAAGTAATAGGACAAGAGCCCACACAGTATGTCGACATGGAAATTGCTAAGCTTGCCAAATTCCCATCCATTTCCAGCCCTTTGGCTTGAGATTTAGACTATTATTAGGCTTAAGAACTGAAGCCTGTTCGCAGCTCTCCAATCAAACTTTCCTTCACGGTATTACTTTCTATTCTTAGCTTACAGGCAACCATGTGCCCACTGCATTCCTGAAATATGCCTTCGATGTTCAGATGCTCTACCATTTACTGTGAGCATATGATGGTTTCTAGCTTATTTTTCTAAATTGAATTGTGCACATGAAACATTTATAATAATGGATATTAAGATATGGTACTGGCATATGTCTGTTTCATTAAAGTTTTCTCCTACATGATTTAATATGTGTGAGAACCTTCAAGTTTATGAAAACCAAATGCTTTTCAGTGAGACTAGTGTAAAGTTATGTGTCATAACGTATTTGTTCAAGTCAAATAAAGATTAGATCGCTTATTTGGCCATATAAATTTTATTTAGTGGCTTAAATGGAATAACTACTTTATTCTTATATTCACTTCAAAGTATTGTTTTATTTCTATTCTGATTTTTAAGGACTTGTACTATATGGAGTTTTGATAAAATCACTATCATTTTAATAGCAACGATCATTTGCTTATACTTTCCAGTTTAGGAAATGGTATCCCATGCGGAGTATATGCTTAATTATTATTTTTATATGACTACATACTGTGTAAAGCACTTATTATATTACTTGGCACACAGTAATCACTATTTGAGTGTTTATTAAGTTTATATACAATTTTCTTTAATTTGAATTATTCAGTTGTGGAATTTTGAAGCTGCATGGACTATCAGAAGTAGCCTGCTTCAAAACAATCATTTCACTGATGTAAACACGAAAATTCAGCAGAGTTAAGTCACTTTCTCAAGCCATTCTGCCATTTGCTGATGGTGCCTGGCCTAGACCTAAGGTCTTTGAACTCCTGGGTCATTGCTACTCCCACCATACCCAGCTGTGACATACTTTAAAGTAATTTGGGAAAACAATGTATGTAAACTGCTCATTAATTGAATATATGCATTTTAATGAATCTACTATGTTGCAAGTAGGCCCTTAAAGATAAGAAACCTCAAATTCTTTCAGAATTATATTCATTAATTCATTCCTTCAACAGAATTCACTAAGTGCTTACTATGTATCAGGCATTGTAAGATCTAAAAACATCCCATAATTTTCCAGTGTTCAGCAGAATAGTAGGAAAAAGATATATTTTCTGATATCTAAAAAAACTCAACTTCTTTTTTTCTCTTGCTTAACGTGCCTTCAATATAATTCTATGCAAAATATTGTAGGAGACAGATTTGTTCCTGAAATAGGAAAAATATATGTTCTTCCTTGGAATTATGAACTTGGTACTTATAAACTTTAGAAACTTAAGATCTTCAAGTTAATGTAATTCACATTCAAATGAGAAATACTCCATAAAATTGAACTCTTTTATTTCTCCACACTCTCTGAGGTAGAGGCAACACATGAGGGACTAACATGGGTACCTTCAATCTTTCTTGGGTACAAGACCTTCAACATTCTATGAAAGGTGGTAAACAACAAGTACCTCAGTTTATCAACTTCCCTCCAAGGTAATTAGGGAACAGGTATATGCTATAAAAAAAAAAAAATGCTCTCAGAAGCCATCTTGCTATGGATAATGATTAGTCAGAATTTCAGTAGCTATTGTGCATTTGTAAATGTGGAACTGAAATTCTTTCAACAGCGACTTTCTAGTAGCTTAAAAAATGGAATGGGAAAAATGTGGACTTCTACATTATCAAAATGTATGTGGACAGCACACTTTAAGAGATGATTTTTATGTGCCAAAACATGAAAGCAACCATATTTATTTCTTCTCCACAAAAACTTCCTCACCTCAAAAATTTCTCCTTGCTTTTAACTTAACTTTTCATTTATTTGAATATAGAAGCATGTATCTTTAAGCCCAATTCCAACCTGTATGCTTCCCCCTCCTCCCACTTCTCTGGATACTAGTGAATCAAAATACATACTTTTTGAACTTACAAGTTTATTTTTCCTAATATTCTCCCTATTATTCCTCTTGATGTCTGTGGTTCCTGTGTCATGTGTGTGCGCATGCACATATACACACGTGCCTATGTAAGCATGTTAGCAACTGAAATAACTTCCAACATAAATGCACTAGGCGTTGGCCTCCGAGCATATTCTGATGCAGAGCCTCTGACTCTGGAGGTCCGTGGCTGACCTCCTAGACCTGTCAGGACCATTATATTTATTGGCTTCTTAGGAGAACCAAATAAAAGTTGTCTGCATTACTTCAATGAAAATAAAACCCATCCCATCTCTAGAGACAGCTCCATATGGATGCAGTATGCCAAAAAGGCATGATTTTATAAAAGGAAGACTATTTGCCCATAATAAAATGGTAAAATGAAGACAGGCAGGATATTTGTTTCTAACCAATGCCGTATGATCTGGATGAAAAGAAAAAATCAAGTAGCCATTTGGTTGTTTCCTTGGAAGTGAGTAGGTAACCATTAATGTTTATCTAAAAACCACTGTTTAGCTGTAGCCTTTATAGAAATGTTAAAATTCACTGACTCTTGTATTTTAGTGGCAACAACATAAACTACACAACTACAAAGATAAACTTTTCATGGGAAAAAATCAACAATAGATGATACTATACTTAAAGAGTAGATAGCCTGCCAAGCAAAGTATTGTCATACTACCATTTTTAATGGCTAGGTTTTACAGTGGCTCCATTTTCCCCCAGGTGCTTATTATTGTCTGAAATGATATTGTTATTCATTTGTTTTATTATCTCTCTCCTTTACTAGAATGAAACCTTCCTGAGAAGCAG